TTTTTTTTTTTAAATAAAAGAATGAAGATCTGAGTACTTAGCGCTAGCTGGCTAATCGCCTATGGGAACAGTTCCCTGTTGGAAGGGACCTTGTACCTGGAACTCCAGTCTACTGGAGGCTCCCCGGCAAAGTTTAGCAAAACCACTCAAATAATTTTGCATATGCAGCTGGAGTACTTCAGTGGGTGAAATATCTACCAGCCTTGGGGAAAGTGGCAGCATTTTTTTCCTACCAAAAAAAAAAAGTTCAGAACATATTGTGAGAAATATCTTGTGCTATTGTGCTGTGCCTTTACTAGATTAGCTGTTTCTAGGGGTTATCAGTCACAAAAGGCAAGCTTCTGGCAATAGCCCAGGCTTTCTGGTAATCATACCAAGCTGCATGATAGTACTTTTAGCTACTGCTTTTAAAAAAGCAAAGTTTGTGTTTATTTGCCAGCAAATTCAGTGTCCCTGTAAATGCAGCTCATTGGAATTCTTTGTTTTAGGGCAGAGAGCAGAAAAACACAACACAGGAATAAAATCGGGCAGCTTTCCCTGAAGGTTCACTTGTTTGCAAAGGAGAAATTTGCCAGATGAGACTTTGTGTTGCTGTCTCTGACCTCTATATCCTTCTTAAATAATGAACAAAAAAGGGGTGGGATTGTTTGGTCCTGAAGTAAAATAGGCTTGCTTTGCCATACTGTAGTGGAAGCCATATATCTTAGTTATAAAAAACAGCCAGTTTTAACCCCTCTACCCCAAGATATCAAAAACTGTCCCCCCCCCTCCAATTTCTAAATAGTTTGCTATTTCTAGATGCTTTTTCAGATAGGTTGCTGAACAAAAGTATTGAGGGGTGGGTTAAACTTGCTTTGGACTGAAATGCAAATTTGCTTTCTAAATTTAAATGTTTGTTTTTTGTGTGGAATAGTTTGTGCTTCATGTATAAAGAACGAAATTTTAGGCACGTAAAAATCTAGCTTTTGGTTATCTTGTTTTTCTGATCAGTTGGGTGGTGGTGAAGACTGGCAGGTCTCCCTCCCCACACCCATTTCCAGGATGGACCAGGGGTCTGGGTCATCATGTAGGACAGCAAGCCCCTGGTTTCAGCTTCCCTCTCTGCATGACAGTATTCTCAAACCACTACGTGAACCATGAAACCCGGGGTAGTCATAAGAAATTTTTCCACTTGACTCAGCCAGATGCTGACCAGTTCCAGCTGAGGTTAATTGTTCCTTTGCTTCGCAGTGTATGTCCAGTATCAGAAGAGCACGGGGATGGCTGAGCAATCCTGCCTGGTTCCTAAGGCACAACACTGAGAGCAGGAATCCAAATACTCAGATTGCATCATTCCTTTGAAGTCGCTTCTTCTTTGACTTCAGTTGTGGTAATGATTTATATCAGCTGATCTTTAGAGCCAAAAATGGAACTGTTTTGATATGACCTTGGACATGTATATTGGATCACCTATCTGGGTTTCAGCTGATCCACTTCACAAACAGTTGCATTATTTCCCTCGAGTTTTACATTATTACTTGCTCAATGGGCTGTTAGAAGCTGAAATTTTCAGGAGGGACCATAGGAAGCAGACGCTAATTTTTGCTCGAATGAAATTTTGAGTTAGGCATTCTCGGAAGATCTCCCAGGGAGAGCTTTGTAAGTTTTAGGTGTTATGCAAATGGCAGCCATTACTGTTCTCTCTCTGCTCATCAGATCCTGATTTGCTGTTTGGATTATCTAATCACTGACAGCCCAAGTGTTTGGAGTGTAGGTAATTACAGCAGTACTTTCAACTAATTCCTATTCATGGAGTAGTAATGAAAATGTTGATTTGAGGGATAAGTGAGCTAAGTATTCATGACGGAGTAGGCACCTAGGAGCATTTGGGGCTGGTTCTTGTTGCTGCTGTTAGAACAGCTGTAAAATGTAAACAGTTCACATACCGTCTTCAACTTGAAGAAGTACTGACAAGTCTCGGACACATACTAGGTCATGATGGCATCAAAGACCTAATTACTTGCTTTATATTGTAGCTCGTAACAGAGTATGATTAGCTCTCTGTCTTGGGCACATCATCTCTTTTGTGCGTTGACTGCATTGAAGGGCTCTCAGTGCTCCTAGGCAGATGCTGCCAGATTGGTTATTCATAGAATCATAGAACGGTTTGGCTTGAAAGGGACCTTTAAAGGTCATCTAGTCTAGCCCCTTTTTTTTATTGTTTTATTGCTAAAAGTTTAGGGTATCATGTACGTTATGCTCAGTTAAGATCATGCTGGATGTTTATGTGTGAGATTTATGTGTCATGGGAGCATAGAAATGTGACTGTGATAATAGTACCCATTCTTGATGGCTCCATTATCTCATTTTTGAAGGTGATAAGCAGGTTTCGAGTGAGGGGATGTATCTTCTTTGTGAGTTTGTTTATATAAGCTCAGCAGAGAGGAGTTAACTGTCAGATCACTAACATTAGTGTGATTCCAAACTGTATATTCAGGAAAAAAATTGTTCATAGTTTCTAATCAAAACAAAGTACTTTATTGGACTTTGAGCTACTGAATCTCTCTGCCTAGAGGTTCTGTAAGAGGAGAGACCTGATTAGCTCATACAGAAGGAGGAGGAGGTTCAGGGGAGAGACCTTTATGACCTTTCCTCCAGTTTGCTCAAGTTAGCATCATGAATGCCGTTTGTTCTTTATCGGTGTAGTTACTTGGGTCATGATGATGTTGTCCTGAGGCACTGACTTTATGTGTTCCAACGCTGGGAAACCATTCCATGATAATTATTGCAATACACGAGCAGAACCAAAACTCAAAGTCCAATATTTATATTGTAGGCTGATTTGGCTTTTGCATCCTTGGAGGTACTTACATGTAACAGTTTTGGATTTGATCGACCTCCCTACCCCCCCAGCTGTACTCTGATTCTGATCTAAATCCAAGAATTAGTCTTGGATTAGTTATTGTTGAACTACAGTAATAAATTCCAGTAACACCGACTCATACTCATCTACCATGCCTGACTGGAGTTGACTGTTAATAGTACTTATGCTCCTAGTGGCATTTAGAAGGGCAATAACCATCCTGCAACTATGCTGCACTGGAGGCAGAGCAAAACTTTATTTCCTTGTTTGTATTAAAATGTTTTTCTCCTGTTCTGCACCTAATTCTGTGTGCTCCTGAGTTCATTGTTGCAGCGACAGCTTTGAGGTGCTTGCAGACCCAGAGAGGTGCTTCTAAGTGGAAATGGCCTGAGTAGGACATCGTCATGTTGTAGTTGTCCTTGTGTGTGTTGTATAGAGGCAAATGCATTACTGAAGGATTCTGTTCTCTTCTGTGGGCTTCTAATTTGTAGTTTAAAACTACAGGTTTTTGAAAAGCAAAAGGACTGAAGAGTCAAACTTTCAACAATCTGTTTTGTGTGGGGTTTTGGGTTTTTTCTTGTCAGGTGTGGTGAGGTTATCTGGGCCCAGCAAACAAGATTCTCAGAAGGTAAATGTAGAAAGTCTCTTCCAGTGGGTGCGTATCTGACTTAGTTTTTTGGTGGTAAGTTCTCATTTTTGCCAGTGTTTAGTAATTTTTGAGCAATTCAGTTCAAACCCTTGCATTAAATGGGATAGGTTGAGTGGCCAATAAGCTGGAAAATTGGAAGGAAATCTTGATGGGTTCAGCTGGTGTCTCGCATCAGAGCAGCCTGTCCATATGCTAAATGCTTCTGCAGCCAAGTGGGCCAGGAGTGTGAGTGCCCACATGTGAGGCAGAGGAATAAAGCTGGGGGGGAGTAATATGGTTCCCTTAACATCTTCATAGAAACAGCTAAAAGCCAGAGAAAGAAGCACAGCTAGTCAATTAACAATCATTCTTGGCATGGAAATAAAGTTATAGCTACTTTTCATGGATATAATTGTTTTGTGCTGAATACGTTGTTTAGAAACCCATCAAGGGTTCAAAGGATGGAGTTGCATGGTCTGTGGGTTACCTGGAGGGTGCTGGCTTCGCTGGAGGCAGTGAGGTGTTTTGAAGGGTCTCGTTGCTGATCACTCCACTGACTTCGTGCTGTGCTGGAGCTCTGCCAGAGCTGTGAACTACTTGATTATGGCTGAGCAGATTTTTTGCTTTGAAATCACACTAATTTTAGTGGTGGTTTTGTTTTTATTTCTAACTTACCAGGTGTTACTTTGGAATTACTGATTAAATGTAGGCTGTGAACAGTTGGCAAGGATTATAAAATTCTTTACTTCTATACAACCAGTATGTTATCTAAGCTGAGAGCTATGGTTTTGTATGTAAGAGGATGGTAGAAAGTGCGCCATAGTTAAAGAATAGGTGGGAAGATTGCAAGAAGTGGGGGCAGAAGTTTGAGAGGTGAAGTGGCTTAATGTTGCAGATGGAAAAGTGCTTTTTCAACCACTCTGCACAGAATCTGCTCCAAGGGACTTGAATTTAAATTCATCTGGACCCCAAAAGCGAAGTGCCAGTTGTCAGAATGGTCTAGGTTTCTACAGTTATATGCTCCGTCTTTTCCATTACCCAGTAATCGAGTTCCTTCTCCCTTATGTATCCTCATTTACCCTTATACATAGAATATACACTTAGAGTTTTATTGCTTACTCGTGTAATAGAAGTTCCATTCCTACCTGTCTGCTCAAGGTTTCTTCACATCTGTGTTAAGCATGCATGACTGGAACCAGTAACGAATCCACATGGAAGAGTGTGTTGCTTTATTTTTAAAAAAGCTGTTTCCTAGAAAGCCCCACATTTGCAAGCATAATTACAGCTCTTTCTTCCTATCACCTTTCACGCAAGCATGCACAGTCTTCATAAGAATTTCTGATTGTATCGTAATTCAAAAGAAATAGGATGTAACTATCCATTAACTTGATTTTTATTTTTTGTCTAAGCTACCAAGAACCATTAATTGTAGCTCCAGAGCAACAGCTGATTTATGAGTTTAACTTCTATGCAAATATTAGTGATATTCAAGTCATTGGAGATGCCAAGTTTATTCTCTTGTGTTTCTAGATTTACCAGAGATGCTGGTTAGTATTCAAAAAAGCTTCAAGCAAAGGGCCAAAGAGGCTGGAGAAATTCTCAGATGAACGAGCTGCTTACTTTAGATGCTATCACAAGGTAAGACTTGGTAATATACTTGTTTCTCAAACCTGTTTCTACACACAGTCAAGAGTAAAATGTGAAGTTGTCAGGTATTAATTGGCCTGAAAATTGGAACTTTTTTACTGCCGAGGTCCTAAACCCAGTTGTATGTTCCTTCATTCAGTAAAGTAGAGGCAGAGTAAGTGTTCTGTTTTCTACTTTGTAGCAAACATCTGGCTAAGGTAGTAGAAAATTACTTTATTTTTAGAGAAGATGTCCTTTCTTCAGCTTTAAAACCAGAGCTGAAATAATAGAAAATTACTTTATTTTTAGAGAAGATGTCCTTTCTTCAGCGCTTTAAAACCAGAGCTGAAATAATTTGCAAGGACTACTACTCTCCATAATTATGGAAGCAAATATCCAAGCTAGCATGTGAATTCAAAAAGCAGGATACTTAGAGGTTCCCATTTCATTAGGATTTTGCATCTGTGGGAGACAGTAGACAGCTACAGATACGAACGGCAACGTGCAAATTTTTCATGCAATGTTGATGTGAAAACCTTTGCTAAATTCACTGGTATTAAACGAATGAAGTTTTTCCCTCTAATCACTTCTCTGGAGTTAAGTGCACATTTCATATTCATCTGAGAATTTACATGTGTAATTCTTCAGGGCATGGAGAAGAATATAAGAAACCCTTTAATTTATAATCATTGTTGGCAAAAGCTTAATATATTAGAAGATTAGGAATTATGTGCATAAATTCCTAGGAGTCGGCGAGCACAGCTCAGTTTGAGGCTGTTCTGCACTTACTCACTTTGACATACATTTAGGAGGAAATCTTGAGGGAATACTGAATCTGAATTCAGACTTGTCTGTCTACATGCCACGTAATTTGTAATTCATTGGGTCATAAAAACTGTGGCTACTTGTAGTAAGTCATGCCCAGAAATAGTTTGTTTAAATTTATATTAAGCAACTTTCAAAAGCAATAAGTGCATTTTTTCATTTGATGTGTGTGAGGGCTGCACAGTGTGTGTAAGACAATTTCCAGCTTTGTGTGAAATGTTGTATTTATATTAGTATGACTCTGTCAATTATTGATGCAAATCTGTATTTGTGCTATTGTATTAATGCAATATGTCAGCAGCACATGCGGACTTGGAGTTCAGATGAGGTAATGGATATGAAATCCATAAGGAATCTAAACAAGGCTGGATTTTTTTTTTTCTTTTGTTTCCAGCAAATCTGTAGGTTAGTACTTAGTTGTTGCTTATGTAACCTAACAGCAGTTTCCTATGTCTGGATCTGCAGACGACAGCACCATCGAAAGTCCCACTAGCATTGAGGGATTTTCATCTTGGAGTCAAGCTTAGGCTATTCTTAACAATTACTTAATGTTAAACTATTGCTTCTTCTATAAATTTAATATCTGGATTTCTCTGGTAGCTTATTTGACAGGAATAAACAATGGTCAAACTCCGCTGTCAGTCACTTTTGGAGGAGTAAAACAAACTTGAACGCAGGTCACTTGAACATAGTGCGCACTCCTGAAAGCACTGTTTCCAGCTGGAGTGAACTGCTGGGTTGTACCCTAAGCTTCTTTTTCAGGGACTGGAGGGTGGTGTCTTGGGGTCTGAGTCTTATGCTGAGTACACCTGAGAGGATCAGTCTGAGCTTCTATGGTTTTTTGGTGTCTTGGACCTGCTGAGCTAGACAGCCAGCTTCAATCGCTCCGAGCCCTTCCCCTGAACTTCTGTCTGCCTCAGGTCCCAGGGGCGTAGACCCGAATTACGGGATGCAGTGCTGAGGTTTCTACCAGAGACCCTGCAGTCCTCCTGTATAAAACGGAGAGTTCTCTCTTCCGTCACCCCTTCAGCCTGGGCGCTGTGGATGAGCTTGCTGAGAGCCACGGCGTGCAGCCGGGCTGGAGGCTGGACCACAATCTCACTGCATTTGTGGGAGCTAATCTGGGAACATTGCAATCAGCATTTTTTCTCCACACTTATCACTCCTCTTTGCCACTCAACAAATGAAGCAGTGCTAACCAAGGAGAGCTGTTCACATATGGTTGCCCAGGACAGTGGGTTGTCACTTACGCAGTGTTGCTATTTGGCAAGGGGGCTCTGCGGCGTCCCCAGTTTTTCACTGTGATGGTAAATGAGGCTGTCTTCTAGCTCTAGAGTCATCAGCTGTACAAGTTGATGAGTCCTGCTTATTTTTAATGAACATTACTGAAAGGAAGCTACCGAATATTAAATAGCTAAAATGTGTTAACTTACAAAGAGCACAGGTAGATAAAAATGAGTTTCTTTTTTAAAAAAGCTTTGTTAATGTGTGAAATTCTAAGGTGCTGAATGATGCAGCTTCTAACAGTATTAAATATGAGGTGTTGAAAAAGGATAATATGTCACTGCTGCTCTATACTGCTCTATACTTGAACTGATTCTTATAAAAAACATAGTTAATTATTAATAAAAAACATCAAAGAACTGAATAAGGCAGAGTCTTCAACTAACACTACTTGTCACCTGGTTTTGATACATAATATTAACGGGACTTTGGTACCCAACACGTCAGCGAGAGGTCTAGGATAGTCATTGCTGTTGTCTGGATGCACATTTGGTCAGCAAGAGCAGCTGTTGTAAGAACAGCTTGGTGGTGTAGAGGTTTTTTGGTGACTATTCTATTTCTGTCATTACTGGACAGAAGGCCGCTTCTCGCTGTCTGTGACAATAAAGTTAAACCTACAAATGAGAAGCCCAGCCAGTCCTGTTAGCATGTCAGGTGTCACTGTGTCAAACGCTTGTGCTAATGAATCGAAGGGCCAATGCAGTTCAGTCTGATAGATGATACTGTAAGAGGAAAACCTCCCTTACAGATTACCAATGTTTCAGAAATATGGTCGCTAACTTTCTACCTGGGTTCTGAAGTGATTCTCAAATGCTGTTGAAAGCAGCATCAAATCTAGAAAACTGACGAGCCCCGCTCACCCCATCAGTCTCAGGAAAGGTTTAATCCATCATAAAACTGTGAAGGATAGAAAACGAAAAACGATGAATGGAGCTAATTTTTCAACAGCACCTGCCTCTTTCACTGAAGTGTTAAATTGTTTCATTGGGTTGCTTTTTTTTTCTGTGATGAATTCAAGTGCAAGCGTTATTTCAATTTATTAGTGGAAAGAGGCTGTCCAGAGCATTTCTTCCGTTGGTACCATGGTGGTACCAGTCACTGAAGCTGGGTTGCTGTGGCTTGAGACCATACAACATCTTCTTGGCACCTTTATCCAGCCAAGGTCTCCCCTTTATCAGTCTGAAGTCTTGGGTCACAAGTGGTGTTTCTGAGGTGTCTCGGTGGTGTTTCTGTCATGTGGAGGGTCCAGTTTGTTCAAATTTCAATGCGTGATGTATGTGTCCCCTTCTGCAGCCCTGCACCAGAGGCTGAGTTCTGACCTCCTTGTCACTCAAAGTTTAAAGCAATAAAAGAAATGTTTTTTTTTTTATAATACTGACCTTTAAATACTTTCTAATCTTGTTCTGTGTTTTTAAACATGGAAAGGTTAAAATGTCCTAAAATACAGGTCATCTGATAACAGTCGTCTGTAGCTTATGAAGTGAACTGGAAATTTGCATATACAAAGCAAATTGCCCACTTAATTCATTTGGTCCCACAAGGGAGAGAAAATAATTAGGATTCAGGTAGCTGTCTAGTTAGATATCCTTTCCGGTAGCTGTCTAGTTTTCACTTGGTAAATATAAATAATCAACCACAAATTACCATATGCTGTAACAAAACAATATTGCAGGAAGGAAGAAATTCTTATTTCTCCAAGTGACTTTTGACTTTGCAGTGTGCCAGAAGAATCCTTAATATTCCAATACAAAACCAACCAATTGCATACTGCTGACAGGAATATACTGATACCTCGAGGGGATCTCAGTTTTAATCCGATTGTATTAATCTTGCCTTGAAACAGTGGAAGTAATTTAAACAGTCTTTCTGCCTAGTTATGGAATAATCCATTTGGAAAATTGAATTGTGTAATTTGTAATTGTTTTCCAGGCTTGCTAATGCAAAACTGTATCGGTAGCAAATTAAATGTTTAAAGTATGACCACTCTGCTAATAACTGGCTGTTAAACATTTATTTTAATGAATACTATCACTTACTATGAATGAAATGTCTAATTTGAGGCTTTAAAAGAATTAAAGTAACTTGTCAGGATATTCTGGTGTCTTCACTATAATGCCATACAGCAAGGCTCATTGCAAGTCTGTGGGGCAGGCACGTGTCCTTCCGTATGGAAGGACATAACTTGTGCTTGGCTCCACTGATCCCGGGAGCGCAGCAGCAGCCTCTGGGAGTGAAGGTGAAAACGGAATCTCTAAATCTGGTCGTTGTTCCTGGCTTTAATTTCTTCGAATAAGCCAGTGCTGGACTACAGTGGGACTATGGCCAGTGTGTGCGATTCTGTATGTGAGCAAGTGAAAAATAGATTTTTCCCACTGAAGAAAGGGAGATATAGGTATGGCTGTAGATTTTCTTTTTATATATGTATTTATATGGATATTTTTAGTAAATCTTTTAAAAAACGTATAAAATTTTAGTATGTTATGTATACTTACTAAGTTAGATATGTACAGGCAAATCTTATAAGCAGGACTGGGCTGGATTTGCAGCAGCAGGAGCGTTTTCCATTAAATGTTCCCCTGGTGTGTCCTGGGAAGTGATCTACCTGTGCTCGTCATGGCGGATTTTTCAGGACGCTAAGACAGAAGCATGAAATCCTTAATTAAGATTAAAACATAAAATACTTGAAAGCCATTGAATGTGGCAGTTGTGTAGGCAATAAATATATTCTCTCGCGTTGTGTTCTGAAAGGCTCCCCATATTTGAGAATTATGTACCAGTTCAAACAATAGCTTGAATGCTAAAGTCCATTTTTAACAAACGCTGTGTTTGGCATGCGTTTGAAGGGAATGAGAGAGATGGAAAAATTTTTGCCTGAGTGTACCTGGTCAGGGTGAAGCTCTGTC